TTTTTCCCTAGGAAATTATATTGTTTTGCCTTTATTTCTCACTTGTTGCAAATCGATTACAACCTCAACTCCAATTAAGGTGCTATATTTTGCTTCCTATTTAGGGGGAAACTCTGAAGAGAAGTATTATTTCCCTTTCTCTGGTTTTATTACAGTTTTACATAGTATAAGCTGTTCAGATAGTAATAAACACAACAGCTTCTAAAATACAACTAATCTAAAAAAGTATCTATAAAATTTTGTAATTATATCTTGAATTTCTAAGAGGAAAATTATTTTTTGATGTCTAAACATGCCAGATTATTAATAGGATAAAATTAGAGCATCACTGTCCTACACTCCTCTCTGGTTAGGTTCATTATTTTGCTAAAAAGAGGAAAAATAATCCAAGCAGCTGTCGGCCTGGGTTTTTTGAACTATGCACACATGCACAGGGCATAAACATCTGCTTTCTCTAGTCCATGGCTTTTGACTTCTGCTATTTCCTTCTCAGCAGCAATGTTGATAAGTAAAACAGATCAGAATATGTAGATATATAATTAATTAAAAGTTTTCTTTCTTTTTTTCTTCCTTTTTTTTTTTGAGACAGTGTCTTGCTCTCTTGCCCAGGCCAGAGTGCAGGGGTGTGATCTCCGTTCACTGCAACCTCTGCCTTCTGGGATCAAGTACCTCTCTTGCCTCACCTTCCTGAGTAGTAGGGATTACACCTGCACGCCAACACGCCCAGCTAATTTTTGTATTTTTAGTAGAGACGGGGTTTTGCCCCGTTGGCTATGCTAATCTCAAACTCTTGACCTCATGTGATCTACCAGCCTCAGCCTCCCAAAGTGCTGGGATTACAGGCAAGAGCCACCGCGCCCAGCCCAGCCTGTCTTGGCCAGATGTTTTTCATGTATGATCTTCGTTACCTCCGTTTTGTGGTTAAAAATATAAAAATAATTTTACAGATTTGCCCATTTTGTTCTCCTCTTTTGTTGTTCTATTTCTCTCTAAAAGATATGATTTTTAATCCTAAAAGTCTGGCTGACATGAACAGATGTTTTGCTTTGTTTTTTAACTCACTAATTTTTCTTGATGCCATTCTCTCTATACGCATGTCCATTCAATAGTCACAATCCAATAATGATTAACATATCATCAACTTATTTTAAACCAATGATATAACTGAGTAGAATCATTCTACCTGATTTCAAAGTCTGTATTAATTAAAGCTAGGTGTATTAATGGACAAAAAGACAGCTATAAAATACAAAAAGAATCCAGAAATAGACTCATACAAATATGCCCAAGTGATTTTGTCAGCAGTGTAAATCAATTGAAAGAAGGGGGATAGCCTTTTCAACAAATGGTGCTGGGGAAATTAGACATCCAGAGGGAAAAAAAAAGAAAAAGAAAAAGAAAATAAACCCAAGTCTTATACAAAAATTGAAAGTTAACTCACAATAGGTCACAGTCTTGTAGGGCATAAAACTGTAAAACTTTCAGAAAATATACGACAAAATCTTTAGAATCCAAAGGTAGGCAAACAGTTCTTAGATTTACATCAAAAAATCATTATTGAAAGGAAAATTGATAAGCTGCATGGACCTCATCAAAATATAACATGCATAATCTGCAAAAGAACAGGAAGAGGATAAAAAGACATGTTCCAGGCCAGGTGTGGTGGCTCACACCTTGAATTACAGCACCTTGGGATTCCTTGAGCTCAGGCGTTCAAGACCATCCTGGGCAAGATGGCGAGACCCCGTTTCTACAAAAATAAATAATTAAAGAAATAAAAGACAGGTCAAAGATTTGGAATAAATACTTGTAAATCAGTATCTGACAAAGGACTAGAACCTAGAATGTGCAAAGAACTCTCAAAACTCAACAGTAAAAAACTAGACCATCCAATTAGAAAATGGCAAAAAAACATGAAAAGACATTTCACCAGAGAGAATATACAGATGTCAAATAAGCACAAGAAAAGATGTTCAATGTCATTAGCCATTAAGAAAATGAAAATTTTAAATATAGTGAGATATTACTACATACATAATCAGAATGGCTAAAATAACAATAAGCAACAACATCAAATGCTTGTCAAGCTACCGAGAAAGCAGATCATGCACTCGTTCCTGGTGGGAATATAATATGCTGTAGCCACTCTGGAATATAGTGTAGCAGTTTCTTAAAAATCTAAATTTCACACTTCCTTAAAACACAGCAATTGCCCTCTTGAGCATTTACCTCATAGAAGCAAAAACTTATGTTCACACAAAAACCTGCACGTGAATGTTTATAGCAGCTCTATTTGCAATGGCTAAAGCCTGAAAACTACCTAGATGTCCTTCAGCAGGTGAACAGTTAAACCAGTAGTGGTAATCCATATCACGGAATTCTACTCAACAATAAAAAATAGATGAGCTATTTATTTAAACAACTATCTACGTGAGTCTCCAGAGGATTATTCTGTGTGAAATAAGCCAATAGCAAAAGGTTACATACTGTAAGATCCTGTTCATATATAATTCATGTGATAAAATAGAAAAAGCACAAATTAGTGATTGCCAGGAGTTAGCACAGGGTGAAGTCAAGAGGAAAGTGGGTGTGCTTATAAAAGGGCGAAGACAGATCCTCATGGTAAGGGAGGAGCTGAGTATCTTGATTGTATCAGTATCAATATTCCTGGTTGTAGCATTGAACTATAATTTTGCATGCCTATGTACTTATATGGAACTGTGTTTAAATATATATGTTAATTATAAAACAAAAGGTGCAAAACCATGTAAACATATTGTTACCATTTATGTTAAAGGGAGGGAGGGAATTTCATGTTCATTTGCTTTCATTTGTAAAATTTCATTTTGTTTTATTTTATGTGTAAGATTCAAAAGCTCTCAAATAACAAATAAATTGGTAAATCTGGTTGCTTGTGGGGAGTAAAATCGAGTGAATTTAAAATGGGTGCAAAGAGACATTTTGCTCCACGTCCTTTGCAGTGTTTGATTCTTGTGCAATGTACATTTTAAGAGAAAACCCAAAATAATACAAATTTGAGTCTCAAAAATAATAGTAATTTATAGCTGTCTTTTGTCTGTGTTGAAGGATTATTTTGCTATAAAGTGTCAAAATTTTATTAGAAATGATTGCTGCCATTTGAAGTGTTGCAGGTGTCCACCATTGTGATACAGCAGCAAGAAAAACTCATCCAACAAGAGAGGGCACTCCTAAACTGTACACAATGGAATAGAAGCCATGCCCTTCAGATGAAATATTATCAAACCTTCATGCAAAACTTTCTCAGCTCAGGTAATGGATATAAAATCAGTCTCCACTGTATAAATCCAGATATATACCCCAATAACTCAAAAGATACAGTGACACACATTTTGTTCTCTGCAAAACTGTGAGCATTTTATAATAAGAGTGACATAATTTTGATCACTCTTCAGTTCAATCTTATTTATAACCTCCAATACTATGTGGAAACACTAAGGATCCAAAAGAGTGCAAGTAAGGGAAATGTACTATCAAATGCCAAAAAGGTTTGTTTGCAATTAGCAAGTCAGATTAAAAATTGCACACACACACACAAACATTGTTTAATCCAGTCATTCAAATTTGTAAGTGTATTTTAATTCTAGCTCCAAATTTCTCAATATATTTAGATATTACTTTAGATTCAAGTTTAGATAGTTTTGAGCAGAAGAATTCATTTTGAAAATAAGAGTATTTACCACAAAATTCTTTTGTGATGCGTGACCTAGCTCTTTTTAAAAATTCTATGAACTTACTCTAGTTTATATTTTTATAGGCCTTGGCAGTTATTTCTACCTGTCACATAGTTTGTCAAGTATTCTATGGTTACTTAATTGGCATTTCATAATGGTTGCACATATAATTTAGAGAGCTAACTTTCCTAGAGTGGGTACCATTTACATAATTGCCAGTGAGAGAGGTCAAAAGTCAACCATAGTTCCTTCTGATTAAGATTTAATCAAGTAAATGTTTGAAGAATCACTGTGTGTCCAACAATGTTTCTATCTGCAGCAGGCCATTGCAAACTTAAGTGAGGCCCACCTGTGAGCCATCAACCTTGAATAGAATAACAATATCCATTTTGGAGACCTACAAATCCAACATGTTCTCCAATACCACAAATACCATTGTCTACACTATTTACACTATAACTCTAACAATGTTCCGAATATTGATTAGCATGGATTCCAAACAAAAGTCATTGAAGAGCTTTCAACAACTCAACATCTGACCCATGGAAGCTACTGATTTCTTAGCCTAAATATAGGGACTATCTAGAAACCAGAGTCGTGGAAGTTTCAGTGTCCTTCCTTCTATAAAACTGCCAGAAACACTTGGTCAGATTCTTGATCTTTGATTCCCCTTTTATACATTTGATCATCCTTCTTTTGTGACTATATTGCTTGTTAAAACAGTTTCCATAAAACTGATTAAACATTAAGGCTTGCTTCTGAGTTGCATCACAGTCCTAAACTAAGCATATTGTTCATTAATGTTCTTCTCCAACTTTCCACACCTGCATGTTTTCAAATCACTCCTTAAGGTGGATTACGTGTTCTCAACATTATCTATGAAATATTTCCTTGTTTAGCTCTCAGAATTTAAACATAAATTCAAGGCTTAGTATTCAACCCATTCTATGGTCCAGTACATTTCTAGCTAAATTGGGGCAGTAAGACTAACGGACGTGAAACAATGAGCAAATAACTGAAGACAATAAACGATGTGAATTCAAACAAAGGGAAGATTGATGAAACTGGAATAGTCAGATCAATCATTATAGAAGAGAAAAAAATTGTTAAATATATCTCCAAATTATTTTCATATTTAAGTTAAAGGCCCATTGCAGGTAGATATTATTACATATATCTTACTATATTGAGCCTCAGAGAAGCTGAAATTGAGAAGTACTACGTCATGTGAATCATTATGTTATGGGATTAAGCCTCGCTGAGGGTGATGCAAGGGGTTTTTGGGGGGGATATATGTTGTTAATATTTTACAATAAGTTAATAAAGTAAAATGTTCATATTCAAAGCCCGTAACTGCAAACCTTGTCCAGACAATTGGATTCAGAATGGAGAAAGTTGTTACTATGTCTCTGAAAAATGGGAATATTGGCACACCAGTCAAAAGAATTGTTTAAAGGAAGGCTCCATGCTGCTACAAATAGACAGCAAAGAAGAAATGGTAAATACTGCTTTGTGGTCTTATTCTGAATATACCATGTTACTTATTAAAAGAAATTCCTCATTCTCAGAAGATAAAATCCTTAATATTCTATAACAGAATATAATTGTAAAAATAAGTGTTTAAAAGAAACAAAGTTAGAATCCATATGTTTGTTTTCCTTTGAATGGGAAAACATAAAAACAGGATGGTTATCAGAAAATGAGAAGAATATGTTTGTTCCATATCCTTGGTTAACTAAAAAGAGGAGGGAATAAGAATACTGTTTTGTAGCATGATAATCCACGTCAAGATATACATACATTATGGTTGCAGATATGTTTCAAATGTATTATTTTCAATGCTCTAGGCAAATAAAATAACCTATAATAACCTTGTAATTATCAAGGAAAAGCAGAAGTATAAAAACTGAAGTGATGTCATGAAATAAATAGATCTTTAAAAGTAAGTATCTGCTAAATGAAATGTTTAAGTGGCATTAATCCTAGTTTACCAACGTCTTAACAAGTGAATAGGCCGGGCACGGTGGCCCACGTCTGTAATCCCAGCACTTTGGGAGGCTGAGGTGAGTGGATCACCTGAACTCAGGAGTTCAAGGACAGTCTGGCCAACATGGTGAAACCAGTCTCTATTAAAAATAGGAATAATAGGTGGATGTGGTGGTAGGTGCCTGTAGTCCCAGCTACTTGGGAGGCTGAGGCAGGAGAATCACTTGAACCCAGGAGGTGGAGGTTTGCAATGAGCCAAGATCATTCCATTGAACTCCAGCTTGGGCAACAAACATGAAACTCCATGTCGAAAAAAAAAACAATAAAAAGAAAAACAAGTGAACAATAAGATGTTTTCCTGAACCATTCCACCCATACATATATATGAAACAGAATGCAAAATTATACATTTTGGGCCCAATGAAAAATGTATACCTGCTATATTCAGTAATTAGATGAAGTTCATTTCAACAAAAATCATGAGAAAATAATTCGTTAAGGATATGCAGTAAACCAAGAACACTTGAATAAATTATTATAATTTGTTAAGTTGCTTCTGGAATCTCATGAACTATTTCCACATCGAAGTATTCTGAGAAAGATTATTCTATGTGGTCTACGATGTCAAGGATATTTTTACTTTTGACAACGAAGGTACAGTATAACATTCACCTTTTTTTGATATATTCTACCTGCCAGGCTCTGAATATGTTGAAACGTTTTAAAACTCAGTTGTCTATTTTTTTCATAGTACATAACACCGCATTGATCATAGAGCAATAGAAAAGAGTCTAAAAAATGTATCTGCGCTCTTTTATAATACTCCCTTCTTTTTCCAGATTTCAAGTTCCCATTAATTTCTAGCTAAGTAAAATGTCACATTTATATTTCACTGCAGTTTTGTTTGTTTTTCTCACTTCACGTTCAGGTCTTGTCTCTTATAGGATTTTATCACCGGCAGCTTGAGGACGATCGAGGGAGGCCATGAATACTGGGTGGGGTTGTCACAGAATGGACACAGTGGACACTGGCTTTGGCAAGATGGCTCCTCTCCTTCTCCCGGCCTGTAAGTCTCTGAATGAAATGTTGCATGCAAAGTTAGAAACATGAGGGAATTCCAAAGTTTATTTTACCTTGTACCATGAATTTTCTCCAAGAGACAAGCAGCATGATAATGTTACAGGTTGCTAATTGGGATTAAAGCTAACAAAATTAAGAGTAGCTTCATGCCTTCTAAGTCTTTCTCCTTCCCAGTCCTGCTGCTCTTATCTTATAGAAAATTCACCTCACAGTTTGAGTGTCTGATGAACAATATAATTATCAAGTGCGTTTCTTTTGTATTGCTTAATGTTTAGAGAGGGCTAAGGGGAAAGGATTAAATGACTTAATTTCCACATTAAGCTTTTCAGATGGCAGTGGGGAGATGGAGAAGCAGAATCAGGTGCCTTAGTATTTTGAAAATTAAGAGTCAGCAAAGAGATTCTAATTTAGAGACTGTCTTTGGGTATCTACATTATTTTTTTTCTTTACATGCTGTTTTTGTTCAAACTATATTAACATTCTTTGTTGACAGAAGCAATTACTGAAGGAGCACAAAACCACCACAGGAAGGTGCTATGTTAATACAAAACAAAACAGGCATCTCCACACTTCTCATTAGTTACCCTCAGGAACATCTCTGAAACCCCCAAATCTAACCTCAGAAATGCTGACTTGCCTTTCCAGGTTGCCAGTAGAGCGATCCCAATCAACTAAGCAAGTCTGTGGATACGTCAAAAACCATTCCCTTCTTTCGTCTAACTGCAGCAGTTGGAAGTATTTTATCTGTGAGAAGCATGCATTAAGGCCCTCTATCTGAAAGAAATTGTGTTCCAAGTGTTGTACTGCACTCATATTTGGAACAGGCCATTGGAAACCACCCCCCCCCCCCCGCCAAAAAAAACCCACAAAACTAACAGCAAGTAGAGCAGCAAACCAATATGTGGGCAATGAAATTAGCAACCTGGGACTCAATAATACACATGGGAATATTCTTCCTTACTGTCCAGATTTCATCTGATGTTGTTCAAATTGCCAAGAATAAAACTTATTTAGAGGTAGAGGACAAAACCCTGAAGAGTGAAGAACAAATGCAAGGAAATCATTTTATTGCTTAAAGTCCAGAATGACTGTAAATTTCACACAATCTGTAAGTTGTTGGGGGAGGTGACGCAGTTACAGCAAACTAATATTTTTAAAATAAGTAAATTTGACCTTTTAAACTCTCTGTCTGCGAGATCATTCTTTGCATTTTCTAGGTTTTCAGGCATTATGTTACCAAAATGATAAGATAGAAGAACAAAGATATGAATTTCCAAATTGGAAGAAAGTCAGGCTTCTATCTGCAGTCTGTATGACAATGTACTGTTTAAGATTTGATTTCTACTAGAAAGATGAACTACTAGAATTTGACATAAGCAGAAGGAAGAGTGAGGATGCCAGGTCAGTGTGTTCTCCAGGGAATGCTGTGAATTCCGTCTTTCCTTTCAATGACCATCCCTGCCATTCACAAAGTAAAGGAGTCATGGTCTGGCCTCTCAGGGTTAACACTTCAGCACTTTCAACTACATCTCTCAGTGCCTCAATTGCCTCACTGTAAAATAACTACAGAACTTACTTCCAAATATTGTATGCGGATTAGACTGTAAATTTATGTCAGTGCTGAGAAGAGCCTTGCACAGAGTTGAACACTCTACCAGTGCTTGCTTTTGTTCTCTGGACCACATCACCAATCATCTCTGGCATCAACGTGTATTTGTGCATTCCAGGCAAAAATGATCCTTTTTTTGCTCCTGTTGCAGGAATATTGAGAAGTCACAGTTCATGTGTAAAATGTCAGCAACTCTTTGGAGAGAATATCTGCTTTAAAGTTAATGGATTCTCCTCAAATAAATCTATAGACAGTCTCTGTCCTAAGTCTTTAGGCTCCCTGAAGCATGAACTGTCTTATTCCCAAGAGATAATTCATAGCTACATGCCCTGTGATCTACAGAAGGAACAGATTCCTTAATTATTATTATATTACCTGTTATCATTTACCATCCCTACAAGAACACCTTACCACATAGTAGGTTTTTAATAAATATTTGCTTAATTAAATATGATTTTATTTAATTCTTCATTTCTCACAAGGAGGAGCTGAGATTCATTAGATTGTCATTTTTTCTTCTAAGCATAAAGGCATCACTTAAATATACAAAGTAAAAATAAAACCTAATTCTCAGCGTCACTGAAATTCATTTAAATAAAACGAAATATCCTCTTACCTAAAGGTCCTTTTACAATGGGTAAGGTTGCACAAGGATGAGAAGAGTACGTTTTTATTTACCCTTGACCTAGAGTGTGAAGGTTAATTAAAAGAGATTTTACTTAATCGTGGGAGTTTAAGTAAAAGAGATTTTTCTCTAATTTTCTGCCTAACCTGAAAAAGGAGAATAGCAGAGAAAGCACAGCATATATCGTCTCCTGTGTTTGGTTTTCACAGCTGACAGTTGGCAGCTGAATGTAATAGCCTGGAATAAAGGAGAAACAATAGCGGAATTTACTAGCAAAGACTGTTTGCCTTAAAGATTCTTCAAAGTATTGTCATGGAGCTATGTTTAGAGAAAGGATATGAGGCATTTGTAATCATTCTCAAGAAAGTACAATGAAGCAAAAGGCAAACATCCTTCAGCTGATGTCATCCTGTAGTGAATGATGCAGTATTTACAAGTTAGAATTTATCTACGGTGCAGCTGACTTCAGCTCCTACAAATCTCCTCAGCAACAATGCTGCTTTCCACACAGATGCTATAGTTGGGAGATTCTTCTCTGCAGGTTGCTTTTGGTCCAGGATAGCAAGGCTTTTTAAATACAGCGCTGAGTATACCAGTCGTATATCCTAGTCCTACCAACAATGAATTGGGCATCTTAGATCTCTTTCATTGAGTTCCAAGTTAGCCTTAAACAAACAAAAAGAAACCTAAAAATGAAACTGTCCTGCAAATGTGAAAAGTTTTTGTTTCATGTTTTGGTTAAAGTATATTAAATGTATAAAAAACATATAATAATAATAATGTTGGTAGAATAATAGTAGATATTATTTGAGCCTAAAAATCTATTCATACAATGAAGCTTGTACAAAAGTCATGCACACTTTAAATCAGATGATCTTGCTGTTTGTAATCTTCAAAAACTGTTAAGAATTTCTCTGTAGAGGAATTGACTCCCAAATATTAAAGCTGGCCCTGAGACAACCTGGTGGACTTCTCTACCTTGTTCATAATGTGTTTGCAACCTCAAAATAAAAGCTCCCCATTACCCTTCTCACACTTCCTGCTGTTATAGGGCTCGTGGCCTGTTTCCTGTTGATAAATCCTGAGAGCAGGTTCAATATCCTCCGGAAAGGAAAGAGCTTATTGTGTACCCTGGGGATCTCAGCTCTACCAGGAAAGGCTGGGCTCCTCATTTGACTGTTCCTGCAATTTCTTCAGAATGACATAAACAAGAACCTAGAAGAGAAAAAAATCTCCTCATGCAGAAAACCAGTTCATATAGTGCCCATCTCTGATTCTCAACTGGATATTGTTTTTAGCAAATCAGATTTTAAAATTCATTTTATCATTATTTCCTATTCTTTTTTTTTTTTTTTTTTTTT